TCATCATATCTCACTGCAACCTCAGATTCCTGGGCTAAAGTGATCCTCCTGCCTCAGCCTCCCGAATAGCTGGGACTACAGGTGGGTACCACCATGCCCATCTATTTTTAAAAATTTTTTTAGAGATGGGGTCTTGCTCTTGCTCAGGCCATCCATTTCTGCCGAGTAATAATAGTCTACTCTCCAAATCAATATTAAATGGATCCCTAGAGGAGAATATGGTTGTGTTCTTGGGATCATTTTGGAAGGGCAGGCATTTTGTCATACAGAATTGACTCTCCCTGGATTAATCATCCACAAACTTTACTACACTGTTATTACATTTGATTCGATTAACCTTTAAGATAGTAAAGAATTTCATTAAAAATATTTTGGCCTGGCTTCCAACGCTACATGCAGGATATTATGAAAGATTTCTGCTTGCAGAAGCAGAACCTTCCATTTCCAGCAAAGACCCCGTCATGGTGAGAAACTGAGCAGGAAACAGGATCCAAAAAGCAAACCGCTCTCCACCTTCTTCTGGTTTGGGCCTTGACTCTTGCTTCATTTTGCTTTTTGAAGTAAATTTCCCATGACTTTCTTCCCAGAGCTTCAGAGAACTCTCTATCCTAGCACAAAATACGTCGTAAGTCAAGGGGTATTGGAGACTGTCCACCATGCTTCTGCTCCCTTTTCACATGTGTGTCTTCTTTCTGTAGCAGATTTTAGAATTGCCAAATGTTTGATGAGATGTTGATGAGCTCCTTAGCTGTATCCATCATAGCAAAGCAATTTAACCTAAAGTGAAATTTCTCACACATACACTCACACGCGCAATGTTGGCCATAGAGCTAGAAGGGTCCTGAGATGCCATCTCATTCAAAACTCTCACTGTTCGGGTTAAGATATGTGGACACAGGAAGTTCAAGAGACTTTTCCAAAGCAAACGTACCTGGTGAAAGACCCAGGTTTCAGAAGCAGGTCTTATACTCCTGGTTTCTTCATCTTCCTGGTCCTTACTAGTAGTATTTATCACTCTTTGTACACATTATAAAATATCTATCAAATATCTTGCAGCTTATACTTTTTTAAATGTGTTTTAAATTTTTATGTTTTTAAGCTTCGTCAAAGATATAGAAATGTAATGAAAGCCAGTAGGTATCCAGAGCAAGTGGGGAAATGGCTTGGCTTTGGCTTTTGCGTGGCTCCTGGGTCCCTAACCCATGGGGAATTTGCACGGTTGCTGGTGACTGCACAGGCTGGACACCAGCAGAGCTGAGAAAATAGACAACTCCTCTGCATCTTTACCAGGGGCTGTAAAAAGGGATGTGCTCATGTACAACTGCATAGCAGCCCTTCTAGCTTCCACTGTTCCAGCAAATGGTTACAGGATGGTCAACCTGCTGGCCCTTTTAATCCAGTGGTTCTGAAACTGGGTTTGTGCCTGGATGTTCTTGGACTTTATGTCTAGTTTTCTCATGCGCCAGAAAGCAGTTCCCCTATAGGCCACCCCTTGACGATGTTTTTTTTTTTTTTTTTTTTTTTTTGAGACATAGTCTCGCTTTGTTGCCCAGGCTAGAGTGAGTGCCGTGGCGTCAGCCTGGCTCACAGCAACCTCAAACTCCTGGGCTCAGCAATCCTACTGCCTCAGCCTCCCGAGTGGCTGGGACTACAGGCATGCGCCACCATGCCCGGCTAATATTTTATATATATATATTTTAGTTGGTCAATTAATTTCTTTCTATTTTTGGTAGAGACGGGGTCTTGCTCAGGCTGGTTTCGAACTCCTGACCTTGAGCAATCCGCCCGCCTCGGCCTCCCAAAGTGCTAGGATTACAGGCGTGAGCCACCGCGCCCGGCCGACGATGTTTTAATATCTATTTATTTACATGTTTCTGATATGAATTGTGTCTAAGGACCACAACAATGAATCCAAATTCCTCAACTTACTATATGTAACAAGTATCCTAAGAAGTAGTGGGACAAATTTGTAAGTTGAATTATTCACCATAGGTACCTATAGCTACTAGTCTTTAAGATGTAAAAAGAGGAAAAATATTTTTGTGATCTTTTAATATCTGTAGACTGTAGCAAATTTAGATGCCTTTTAAATATTTTCCCAGTTACCAATAAGTTATGTGTGTATATGTATTTACATGTAACCTTTATATTTCTGTTCACTTATGAAACATTTATGGTTCTATACATGTATATTATGACTACTTCTATATACTTCTATATAACATGAAACATATGGATGAGAAATTCTAAAGTCAGCCAAATATCCAAATAGTTTGTTCAAGATAAATATCTCATTTCTCTGAAGCATCTGAAAGCCGAGCATCAGAATCTATTTTTATGTAGATGTTTTATACAGATTCAGCCATGCTTTGTTTTCCAGAAAGAGTTAAAATAACTAAAAGCAAGTTCTAGTTCCTACAGCCTAATTAAATATTTCCTACTTTTTTATGACATATGGAAATACTTTTTATAGCTCCAGTAAACTGGGTTTCCTTACGGCGGCAAGTCAATACTTAACGGTATAAAGCTGGAGGGTTAGAATTAACGTGGCACAGTCATGATCGGTGGGTTTTCCAGGAACTGCGAGGATTCATATGGAAGACCAGTTCAGAGTCAACATTTTAGAAATTCTGCAGCAAGTTTTCACCCAACTTCTGAATTTCTATTTCTCTTCGAGTATATTTTAAGCAATGACTAGTCATCGAAAATTTCACTTTGGCAAGTATTTACTGAACTCAGGCAAAGCATACTGCTCCAGACTGGGGAAATACAGATGAATAAAACCAACTCTTCCCATCAAGGGGCTCTGAATTTAGCAGATGACTCAGAGGAGTAGGCAACTATTTAAAGCGCAAGTCAATGTAGTGAGAGAATTAAGCAAATTCCTAAGGAAACCCAGAGGAAGGAGAAATTCATTCTGACTTGGGGCAATAGGAAAGGCTTCCCTGAGGGAACAGGGTAAAGGAATAAACATCCTGGGAGGCCTAGGAGAGTCTAGTTTAAACTGTTATCCTGGTGTAATTTTTAACACTGCCCTTTTGCTCTCTGAGGTTTTCTCTGGTCAATACAGTGTACGATCATCCTAATATTAAAGCATATTTAAGTTGTTGACAGGGAGAAGGGGAAGGAATTTCAGGAGGACCAAAGAGCAAACACAAAAGGCATGAAAAAGTAAAAAGCCTTGCTATGTCTGGGGAAAAACTGGATCTTTCTCTGGCTTGTGCAAATGAGGGCGTTTTTGCCTTTTCTATTGCTGATTGGATTGAAATAGAAGTATGTTCTACAAGGACTGGCATGAACCTCCTATCGCATACTTATTTTTCTTTCTAGGAATATGACTACTGTGTAGCACAAATCTTTTCCTATATTTATCCTTTATTTTCCATGTTCATTTGATCAGACAGTTTTATTTCTGGCAATATACTATTTTCACATCACAGGGAAAGAGATAAATTAAAAACCAATTCATACATTTCATTATCTGCCTTCTAACCAGTTAACACTGCAATAGAACATACAATGAACATGAATTTGCCCCATACTTTGCAAGACACAAATGTTTAAAGAGAAAATCACCAAAATTAGGAAGATTTTTTTTGTCTTCACAACTAGTTAGGGGGTAAGGATGGAGTATGCTGAAAGAATAAAGAAAATCTTAACTTGCATTGTTTTAGGATAATAGATTTGACATTATTACTTTTTGTGTGGTGAAGTTCATGTGTGATAGAAATGTTTCCCTGAGGTATTTTTTAACAGAAAGTTTCTAAATTTAGAATAGAGAAACTACACACACACACACAGACACACACACACACACACACACACAGCCATTGACTAAGGAATTCCAACAATAACTGAAAATTCTCTAGGTGCCAATGGTGTGAACAGATGGGAAAGGGCAACTGCTATGCCCCATGCAAGCAAAGAGGGGTACAGGGATAAAGTGGGGACCAGGTCCCTACTCTGCCCTCTTACCAGACCCGGTTCTCTTTTTGCAGCTATGTCTGAGAAACTGAAGTCCACACGGCACGAACCCTTAGCTCCTCCTTTCCCAGGCCACGTCAGCACCAAGGTCTCCCAGGGCATGAGCCTGGGGTCCTGTTCTCCAGCTCTTCTCATGAGCAGATGGCAGGAGCCTGCAGGGAGGTCTGCAGAGAGGGCTTTCAAAGCTTTTGAAATTAGCCAAAATGTCAACAAACTTAGAAGAGACATTTAGATATGACATAGTTGCCTAATTAATGATTTTTTCTCACTTCACATGGGTATAACAAACAATAAACCTATCTGGACATGTGATTTTGATAAGTGAACGATCTTTCCCTTCCCTCCGTAGGCCCTCATCTTCCCTCACCACGACTGTCTCCAGGCTTCTAACTGGCTGCCTCTATTCGCTTCCCACTTCTGTCTGTTTCTGGGCTTGTCCCCAAAGGATCCTTTGATAGGTCACAGTGCCCAGTGCTATAGGATAAAGCTGCTGTTCACCTGAGGCACAGCATGAAGGGCTGTGCACAGCTCCTTCTCCGGTCTACGCCCCTTCCCTTTCACACCTGTTGCCTTTGCAGGATTTCAGCCTCGTGAACTTGAACTCTCTAGTAAGCCTTCCCTGACTCCTTGAATTAGTTATGCTTGTCTGTGTATTAGTATGCCTGCGACTAGATGGATAGTCTTATGGACCTGAGTGTTCTTGGAGGTCTTGTTTATCTTTGCATCATATCATCACTGCTTAGGGGATTGTCTGATATTGTGTGTTGAGGAAACAAAAAAAAGGTAGCTGAATTAGTTTGGGCAGAGCTTTCTTCAATCAAAACCACTAGTCCTCGTGGGTTTTATTGGCCCTAGCAGATTACTTGTATATTTGAGGCCACATTTGGCTAATCACATGTTCCCGTAGATAGGCAATATGAGGATGTATGTGCATAAGGATACCAAAAGCCAAAGGTTTATTTGGAGTTGATTAGATGAAATGAATTTAATTTTAAATAGATGGACATACAACAAACCACTTTCATATAAATATGTTTTATTGCAGAGAAGTTATAATTATTTACATGCTGCAACACGGCACAACATAAATTTACCAAATATTTCATGGTGGGATGCTGTAGATTTCAGATAATAGTTTTAGAAGAACCACAGATTAAGTGAAGAGACTTACAGTTTTATTGACTCTACAACTCTCGGTTGCTAAATGCTAGAAGTCAAAAGGCAGTGTTTTTTCAGTCCTACCTGTCGTCACTTGCATGCAGAAACCTAGGAAGCAAATACAAGAGAACTGTCGAGTTTCAAATCCATACTGCCACCAAAGTTTACAATAGGTTGAGTTATACTTCAAGTCATAAAGCATTTAATTCTTGCATAAAATATACAGTTCTATTAAGATTGGTATAAATCTACTTATTTATAAACCCTGGCTGAAAAACAAGGACAGGATGCAGCCTGCACATGCATTGAGAAGGACAACCTAGAAATGTTTGTGACCTTAATAGTGTTTATTCACCTTCTTATTATCAGTCTGGGAAAATAACCTCCAGAATTGCAGACTTAAACTTCTCTTGGTGATAAGTGACGGCAATGAAACTGTAGGAAAGACCCTAGGTCTTCACTGAAACGTGCTGGTGGAGAATAATCTATGGACTGTAGAATGTCACTAAGGTGTAATTTGGCAAGTCTTTTTTAAGCCACATCTCTAGCAGGATCATCCTGAAGTGCAATAAAAAGTCCCTGGTGCTTGACCGCTTATTTCTCAAGAAATGAATCGAGTACTAACAGATGGCAGACATAAATGAAACAAGTAGGTGGGTCTAGAAATTCCAAACCAAATTCATGAATATACCTTAAGGTAGGACACCAAGCATATAAGCCTTAATTGAAAAGGAAGGGCTGAAAGAAATAAATGAAGGAAACACACAAAAATAGAACTTCTATCTCTTTTCAAACCTACCCCACCAACCTGAGTAAAGCACACAGCAAGCGAATGGGCGAGATTTGTGCACAGCTTTGCAAAACAGTGAAGTGCTCACTTACTCCTGAATAAAAATCACTGAGAAAATTGTGATGATGAATATGAAGAATTCATATTTACCTTCCACTGGGATAATATTCTTTAAGAACAGCCCCATATCCACCTTTGATTCCCTTTTCCCATCTTTTATCCTTCTAGCATGTTCTCCTTGCTGCTCATGAAATAAAAAACAGTGATTTAGGCTAGAAGTGTCTTGGCCAAATAAGCAGTTGATACTTCAATGCTTAGAGTGAGAGAAAGGGAAGTCTCGGTTCTATTTTTAAGTGATTCATCTTTAAATAAAATGAGACCGAGCTTTGGAATCTCATTGCATGATCACATCAGTAGGGCTAAGTCAGCAGCTTAGGATTTTCATGCCAAGAGATCAGTGTGGAATGCAATAAGTTTTATAAAATATGCTTTGGGGACTGTTTTGCCTTGCAAATAAACCTTATACTTTGCATTTTGAGCTAGCGGCTCGCAATGGCAATTTGCAAGACTTGTAAGTTTTCCAGTGCTTGGGAGAATGTACAGCCCATACCACCTTATAGGCTTTGAATAAATCGGGTTATAAAATCTCTTTGGGATTTGAGTCCAGCAAGTTCTACCCCTTGCTGAAGCAATGAATAAGATTTTATGAGAATAAATAGCTTAAGATAATTTAAAATATATTTTCAGAATGCATAATAAAAATATATCCATACAATGATCTTGATGCTATCATTAATTTTTCTCTTTAAAAAAATAATCCCTTGAAAGTGCTAACAAGAGCAACCTTTCTGTCTTAGTTTTGAAAGGCAAACTTCCTGGTTCTGTACTACTGCTACAATTTTCATGTCATTCCTAGAGTCTTCCCTTTCTAATGGTAATAATAAAGCACAGTATATTTTCTCCCTCTTAGCTTCTTCCTTAGGAAATGCTGCTAAGTATGAAATACTGAAAGAGTTAAAAGGGACAGTTAATTGGGATGAAGGCATTTTCTATCTCTGACTTTGAATAAACAACGGATAAGTTGTCCTTAACTTATCGAGACGTATGACTAAGTAGGACCACTTGATCTCCAATAATAATAAAGCTTCTGAGTCCTAACAGGAAGTGCAAAACAAGTAACTCAACTTGTATAAAAAACCCTGATTAAGACAGTATAACAAACCATGATGTGAAATAATAGAGTCAAATTCAAATTCACAATATATAAACCACAGCCCAAACTAAAAGTTCTTATCATAACAGTTATGGCTTTCCAAGCCAGTGAAAGCTTACTATACTTCAAGAATCAACTAAAGTTGATAGATAGCAGGTATTCTGTAAGTTGCAATAACAATTGGGTAGCTGCAGATTGCATAACTGTGTTGTGTCACATAATACCAAAGTTATTTGCAAAAATTATACAATCTGGAATGCTTGAATATGAGACACAACATGTACTGAAACATACATTTATAAGAAAATGAGAGCAATCATTAATATAAAAGGTGTTTTTGGGATGCATTAAGTTAGCAGTGCTATCAAGGTTAAATAGGTAACGTAAGTTCTTTTCAGTCAGGTACTTAGAGTCTCGGTCGTATGTGCCTATGCCTTTCTCTTCTTTGCAAAATCTGCTCTGTCTTCTGTGTCTCCTGCTTTGGCTCGCTCAGGACCTTCGACGTCCCATAGGTAAATATTGACCAGGGCCAGACATCGTGGGCTATTCCCCTTAAACATGCTGAATTGTAAAAGCGTTCCTAGTGTTACCAGGGGAATGACTCTTTTTGGCCAAAGTCTGACTTCTCCATTCTGATGCGGCTGCTCCCGCCAGGCCTTGGACCTTACCTCACTGTCGTATTTCCCGTGACCGGGACGTTTGGATGCTTATACCTTCTGTCTCATACCCAACCCGGGGTTTCCTCCTCCTCCTCTTCGTTTTAGGGACGCTACACTTTGAAGGCATCCCAGGCCTCTTCCTTCCGAGGCCCTGCTGCCTTGTGTGCGCTTAGCGCGGGGGAGGCAGGGAGAGCCACGCTTCTCTCCGCGCTTGGTAGATCTGGGCTCTCAAACTCCCACGGGCACACCTCGGCGCGCGACGGCACAGGTTTCTGGAAGTTAGTGCTGGAGTTACAGGAGCCGGGCACATTTTCCTCGGAGGAAGATGTCTTTTTCTCCTGGTCTCCTATTCGGCCGAGATTTTCATTCTCTACTTTCGATGCTACAGCCCTGGGGGTGGCTTCCTCTCGCTGCCCCGCACACGCGGGGCTGTCGCCGCCAGCCCTCCCCGGGGGAAGCGGAGTCTGGGAAATGAACCGCTTGTCGGGCTCCAGAAGGGGCTGGGCCTGGCTCTCCCACGCGCACAACGCGGCCCTATCTGCGCCCTTCTGACCGGGCTGCTGGCTCGCCTCAGCCGCCTTAGGCTTGTACTGACATTTCTCCTTTAAGGAAAAAGCTGGGTTTTTCTCCATTTCAGAAGCCACGATGGACACATGTTTCTGAGCTTTAGATTCCGAAGGCACGGGACCAGGGTTCGGGCCGTACACCTCCCAGGGGCACACTTCCCCGATGTCAAAGTTGTCCTTCCGCTGGGCGGCGCCTGGGCTCAGGTCAGAATTGGCAGTGGGGGGGTTGACCCTTTGTTGTTTCATGATCCCCGATTTCTGAGGCTTTCTGGGCTCCTCCACATGATTGGGGTTTGGGGGCGCAGAGTCTTTAGTCTCTGTGTTATCTGGATTTGGGTGATTTCTGTTTGTCTCTTTATCTTTTGGCAGAGGTTTCTGGGATTTAGCACGTTCCTCCACACCTGCTGTCTGGGTTTTCCCAGCTAATCCCAGAGTCTTCTCCTTGGCACTTGCTATGACACTGAGAGACTTCTGCAGCATGGACGTCCGTGGGTGCCCAGGCTTCTTCTCGGAGCTGAGGTTGTGGGCGCTGGCTGACTTACACACCAACGGCACCGACTCTGTGGACTCGGCCTCGCTATCTTCTTTAAGTTTCTGTGTCAGCTTTTTACCTGACAGAGATTCCAGCGTGGAATTCTCCGTGGCCTCCTCGTCTTGGCTTTCCGTTGGGAGGCTGTTGGACTCCTCCGTCTGGTCTCTCACGTGGTCGTAAGTGCTGTGGGATTTCTTGAGCGAAAAGACCCTGTTTTTCAGGGACTCCTCCTTGGGTTTCCCCGTGTTACCTGAAGACTCCGGCGGGTTCTTCCTGGCAAGGGCAGTGCCTTTGGCCATGCCGTGGTCCGCGACCTCCTTGTCCTCTTTGGAACACTGCCTGCTGACAGTCTCTGGGATCTCAGTGATGCGCCTCATGATGGAACGGCCCAAGCCCTTCTTCGAGCACCGCTTTTTCTGGAGGTGGGGGTTATTTGTGATCATCTTCTTGCGCTTATACACTTCCAGTTGGGCATACAGTTTCTTCAGCTCATCCTGCCAGAAAAAGAGAAGATTCAAACAGGTATAAAATTTAGCATTTCAGCCAGATGACATCACTAAATGGTACTGGAATTCAATAAGCCTGAACTCTTTAGGGCAAGTGCTCTACAGCTTTCCCTAACATCTGTGCTCATCAGTTTTCTTCTCATTAGTACTTTCTGATTATTTTGTGTTTTGTTTCACATAAACTTTGAACCATAAGATACGAACTCATGCATTCTACCATTGCTTCATGAAGCAAGTACTTTGAACTTTTCAAGTTGTATGGACTGGACTGAACCTGGACCATAACAAAACACAGCATTGTTTACTGACACCATATCCCTGAATAGCATTGGGAGCATCCTATAGCCTTTGATAAAGTTACGCCTCATGTTAGATTAGCCCATTGGTTAATAAGAGCACCTTCTTCCTTCATATGCTGATATGTTGTCACAGATTATTTTAAATAATCCAGGCTCTCTGCTCACAGATCTATCCCACCTTTCCATAAGCAAGGTGTCATAAGCACATATTAGGGAACATGTACAATTAGTCCATCATTTTGACTGCCAATAGGTCAGTCAAGACCATCAAGGTAGGCCAGGCTGCTACAAGAGTTGAAACAGCCTGTGAATTCTAACTCATAACATGACTATACATTTTAGAATTGGATGAACTCTGCATTTGATATCTTCAGCCCACACACAAACATGCATTCTCTCTGACACATATATACAAACAGGAGCACCTATGCATACACGCCACCCCCAACCCACACATGCTTGCCTGTATAAATGGGTCTATTCTGAAATAGGAAAAAATATAGTACTGGCGTTACCCGAATGTCTTCTGGATCCAAACTGTGCTCACTCCAGGCTGAATTGATACTACTGTTCAGGTAGGATCCAGATCGACCCATGTCTAGCTCATCTTCATATGCTTCTGTAGCAATATCATCTCGTGGGTTATTGCTTGAATGTGAAAACTGCAATGGATATTAAATATGAGCTGTAGACATTAGCCTACTGTAAGACACAGTATAGTTCTATATCTGTATACACACAACATATATACACACACATACATAAAAAAGTATATATAGAGAGAGATGGGAATCTCTTTATGTTGCCCAGGCTGGAGTGTAAGGGCTATTCACATGTGTGATCATAGCTCACTGCAGCCTTGAACTCATGGGTTCAAATGATCCTCTTGCCTTAGCCTCCCGAGTAGCTGAGACTACAGGCATGGGGCCACCGTACCCAGCCCAGCTCAATAATATTCTAAAGGTTTTAATGTTAACATCATTTTTTCAGCTTGCTGAATTCATTCACTAAACTCTTTCCAAATAGTTGCTCCTGTATTTGTGTTTTGCGTTCCACGTTATGTGCTGGAGCTCCTAAGTGAGGCGATATTAGCACTTGGCCCCTCTCTGACTCCAATTTTCACCAGTGTCTCTTCTCCAGACTCCCAGTGTTTACTTACATTACTCTTCTTCCATGGTGTATTTGCATTTTGCAAGTAGAAATAAGTAGAACAATCCAAAGAACTATTCTCTAAGTGGAGCAATTTAGACTCATTGGAAGCTAAATGGGAAATTTTTTGAGCAGTGGGGTCCATTTTGTGTTTGTCACTGTGTTTCACGTAGGTGAGGATGTAGTTCATCTACGGGCACAATTGGTCCTAGTGACAGGACTGTGAATTTCAGTCTATTACATACAGCTTCAAAAAAGATACTTTCAAAACTCAGCGGACAGAAGATCTGAATTCCAGCCCAACTCTGCCATCTGAGAAATATTAAGACACAAAACTTCTCTGGAGCACAGTGCCCTCTTGGCCTAAAGAGCGCTGGGCTAGATGTTATCTAGGTTTACATTGAAAGAGTCACTGAGATTACAGATTTTTCCTCAAGCTCATCATTACTCTCAAGTTCCTCCATCATGTTTTGATATATTTTGATTATTTTCATGTGGTTTTTGACATTTTTTGGTTTTGTGTGCTCTTGCTATCTTCTGTTATTCAAATGGAGTAGTTGGGAAGAGAACATTGGCTAAATGATGGAAAGCAGGAAGGAGAATCAAACCAACCAGTCACACTGGGTTGTAAACCAAGTGACTGTCTTATGAAATGAGGGATCAGCTTAGAGAACATGAATTCTCTATTCTCCCAGTTTCTCATTGGTCAAATATTCCTTAAAAAAATTAAAAGCTCACTTTTTGATGATACAGAGATATTTTAATGTCACCTTTTGTTAAAATATCCACTGGCCAGGTGAACATGAATATGAGATACTGTGAAATGACAATTCTCTATTTAAGTAATAATGGGTGTTTTATAATTGAGACAACTGAAAAAAACCACAGAAACTGTGAATCTTTCCTTCACTCTTCTACCTGCATGTGTGGGACCCACAGGTGACATGAACTTGAGGACATAAATGGTGACTACGATAAAGACTCTGTCCTGCAAAATGTCATATGCTACTAGTTAAATCCCCAGGAGGTTAGTTATGAGTATGGAACTTTTTTTCATGAGCAAAGTCTTAGAGACAATGATGAGTTTAAGATTTAGTCATTTGTCAGATATTGTCCATTTCCTGCTTTATTTTTCCTTCATATTTATCTCTATGTAAAGCACTATTTTAAATGTTTATCTTGTCTGTTTCCCCCTTCCCCTTCCAGAACAGAAATACCATGAGAACACATATTTTCATCTATTCTTTACTCTCTTCCAAGGATATGAAACAGTGCCTAGCAAAGGCCCTCAGTAATATTTTTAAATTATCTTTTTATTGAGACAGAATTCACATACATACTATAAAATGTACAATTTTAAAGTGGATAATTCAGTGCTAGTATATTCACAAGGTTGTGCAGCCATCACCACAATTTAATTCCAGAATATTTTCATCACCCCAAAAAGAACCTTGAACCCATTAAGCAGTTACTTCTGTCCCTCCTTCTCCCTGTCTGTGGTAACCATTAATATACCTCTGTCTCTACAGATTTGAATGTTCTGAACATTTCACATAAATGGAATAATACAATGTTCAGTCTTCTGTGTCTGGCTTTTTCAATTGGCATAAAGTTTCCAAGGTTTGTCCAAGTTATAGCATTTATCAGTACTTCATTCCTTTTAATTGACAAATAATATTCCTTTGTATGGATATACCACATTTTGTTTATACGTTTATCAATCAATGGACATTTGGGTTATTTCTACTTTCTGGGTATTATGAACAAGGTTGCTACGAACATTCATGCACAAATTTTTTGTATGAACAAATATTTTCAATTTTCTTTGTAGCTCAATAACAATTTATTGAATGAATAACCCTGTCTAATAAATGTGTAATCATATTATGCAAAATATTACAATTGTTAAGATAAACTATAGTAACTGACTGATCTATGAAAACTGTAGCTAGCTGATGTAATTCAAGTAGGGAATAAAATAGGTATTTTGTTCTGTTTACAACTGTTTGGCCTTTTCATTCAGGCTGAATCTCAATGTTTTGGTTAATTGTGAGAGTTCAGGGAAAGCCTGGAGTGAAAGACAAGAAATCACAATTCTGGTTTGAGCTGTGCTAACATTATATTACGTGGCACTTATAAGATATATGGTGTTCTAATATGTTTCTCTATGAATAAAAGAGGAAAATAACAGTAATGCCACAATTTGTGTAATATGTTTTTTTCCCCCAAAACTCTAGTATTATTTTATTTTATTCCAAGAAGCCTTACTGCATGTCACAGATGAAGAAATTGAAACTCGGAGAGATGGAAAGTCTTGGCTAGCACCATGTAACATTACAAAGCTAGTGCGGGGCCTGAGTCCCGAATGCCTGTGGCCTGAGTCCTGGCCCATTTTTCTTCACTTCATTATGCTGCCTGGATAAGTCTTTGTCAGGATCTATCACTATCAGGATTCTTCTATACATAATATTATAATTATTTATTTCTGTTCACATAAAAATTACCTTAATGTTTCAAACACAAGACTTCTCTGAATATGAATCCAGACAACATGATTCTTAGGATAGTTCTTTTAAAAAATGATCTTGATGTTATAGCTCCAATAAAAGCCACCTTGAACCCATGATAATTACAACATACGTAGACATCAAAATGTTTGTGAAAGGACTGAAAAATACCTTAATTTTAAAACCCATCATCTGTGATTTAAAAACTATTTCAGATATTTTAAGACAGACATCTAGTTTCCTGAGGAGGGAGCTTTAAAAATATTTTAGTGTGTTATACAAATTTCCATACCTCCTTTTGTCTGTAGGAGAAACAACAGCATGCTCATTTAAAATAATTGTCTTGCAAGAAAAAAATAACATTAGAAGAATACCTTTGGAATCAAAAGCAACCCAATGGTGACTGTCACAGTCAAATGAGTATGTGCAAAATACAGCATCAGCATCCAATCAGACTGAAGTCTTGAGGCAAGAACAAATCTGAAATGAGAATTCACTGAGTTAGCAATTCAAGATTAAGATCTGTACTTAAAACACTAGGATACTTGGAAACTCTTTTCCTCACTGTATTTAAAAAAAGAAAGAGAAAAAAGAAATTGTATTGCTATTTCTATGGCATATATTTTCATCACAGAAAAATAAGGATCTAAGTAACCTTAATTGGATGTCTAAGATATGAATTCTTTACTATTTATTTAGATTAACAATAGTAAGAAAGACAGCATAATAATTCCCAAGATTATTACTTTGTGTGTAAGTGGACTCCACAAAGCAAAACAGTGAATACATGTGAATTCAAACAAAGAGTAGGTTACAAATTGGTGGTTTCAGGCAAATTTGGGTTATACGATACATCCAAATTATTCATGATTCTAATAGTCTTTATTTAAAAACATTAATTAGAATTAAGAACAAAGTGGACAATTATCTGTCTTTGTGAATGATACCAAAGGTTTAAACAGTAAACAATTTAATGAATAAAATGAATATACTAATGGTTTATAAAATGCACTTTCAAAACAAATTTTGCTAAATTATCAAATTATCTTAAATAATTTAAAATTTAGTATTTAAAATCTAATCTTACTGAGGAATTTGTAAAGTTGTGTTCCAGGATGGCACTGCAGGAAATACAGTGAGGAGAAATTCAGTACTGAGGTCTACTCTAGTAATTTTGGAATACTTTTGTAAATCAATAGGTGCATGTACAAACCAAAGCTCACATTTTAAATATTCATCTTTATGCAGAAACCAGGGGTTGCTTTTATAAAGGTCCCTTCCATTGTTTATCCATGAAAGTTAAATATGAGATTTTACCACTTTTGGATTAGAATTTTGTTTCAATGATATCCATCATCAAATTTGAAAAGTTAACATCTTAAGAAAATGCTCATGATATCACAATCATGAAACATATATAAATGGCCAAAAAGGGAGGAAACTAATTTTTATATCTGTGTTATACCATATTCATGAACACTTACACTTATTAATATTTAAAACAAAATGGCCATCGGTGGGATTTCTTCCTTATTTTCAACTCCACCCCACTCCCCCAAGGACATCAAGCTAAAATGGAAGCTCAATATGGAGAGTTATTCCCGGGTCTGGAGATGTAAACAAAAGAGACTGGTAACATGCAGGGAGTTGGTAACATGCGGAATGCTCAGATAGTTTACAGGTCATTAGAAAGGATCTGCTGGATTATCATTTGCACTAACACCTTTGTGAGAAAAGTGGCCTTACATGTGTCTTGAATGTGGCTGAATATTCACTTTGTTCAGGGATGAGATACTTTTGACATAACCTATTTTTCTGGGCCAGGTGAGATTTTTTAAAGCAGTTTATTAATAAGAGGGTCATCATACTTAGTAACAAGTTCCATTCTCTGAGGCATGTAAGTAACATATAATGTACCCTGGAAAATGATATAATTCCAACCTCCTGGGAGTCACTGCCAGTCCCGGGGCAGGAAGATACATTAAAGGAGCTGCATTTTGCAGTCTAAAAGGATCCTCATGTACTGGGAATTCTTATCTCGAATGCCAATACAAGTCAATTTTAAGCTATCATGGCAATATCTAGAAGGAAAATGGTTACATTCATTTTAAATTAAAATAGTGACTCTTCCAATAAAACAAAAAGTTTGAAATATACAGACATTAATTACCTTCAAATTAATGAGCCTCAAATTACTGCCAGGTTTTTTAGGTTGCAGTTCTGACTAGAAATACCTTGAGAAAAATTAGTTTTTGCAGTACTTTTAAAGCTTTATTTTTAAGGAGTATTTCATCTTTTTAAAAATAGGTCTAAAAGCCAGGAGTATAAAATATTTGAAAACTGAGGTTAAAAATAAAGCACACTTTTAAAAGTCTTGCACATTCCCACAGGCTTGCTTTATGCTTAGCACTAAAAATAAGTAAAGGATTAAAACAGCCTGGGAAAAATTACTCTGCGTTATTTATCCTTCTAGACTTAATCCTTTGACATTGTTTTTTTGTAATCTGATAATTTGGTATGAATGAAGGTAAATCTGTATATAATGTATAAATTTTTCATTTATATATGTATATATAATTATATATTTTAAACAGACAAGAAATAACATGCTATATTGATAGAAAATATCTTTTCTGAAGTTAGAATCCTTATTTAATATTATTTCATTCAAGGAAGAAATTACCAACATGGATCCAGCTGATTTAAATTACTAGGTTACTGCTTCTTATTCTTAGACTTGGAAATGTTTGAACTATAGCATATGTGAATTGAGTCCATATAAATAAGATATTGTACATGTCAGATTTCTTTAATTATTATTGCCTATCATTTGCTCCTTTTCCATTCCCCTAAAATCAGTGTTCTGTAGATTTACACTGTTAAACTACAATTCTATTACTTGGTCCAAATTAAATTTCTAAGAAAAAGCAGATAATGTATTCTCTGATTCTTTATAGCCAACATACCACCATCTGATTCAATCTGGTCTAGGTAGAAAGATACAGGAGGTCAAATTTGGAACTTAAGATGTAGGGCTTCTTCTTTAGGTTTAGTTAGGCTTGTCTATGAAAATATCTAAGCCTACCAAAGTCTTTCTGGGTCACTTTGCTACCACTGGAAGTTCTCCCTGTTCAAAACTGATAGGATTGTACACGGTTGTTTGGAAGAAAGTTGATCTTGTGTGTGTGTCATGTCTACTCAGCACCAAATCTGTCAGGTTCAATGTGGCTCTGCCGTCCAGGCAGAGCGTGTGTTTGCGTGAACCCAGCTCCTACTTATGTGATTCTTCTGGCAGGGTGGATGGGTTCTTTAGGGCTTTGTAGGAAAGATTTAAAGCGAAGTTGGAAAGTGGTTTTCATTTAGTATCTAATATATATTTCCTGTTCCCTGAATCAGTACGAAAACAGTATTTTCTGAAGCGTGGCTGCTGTTACCAGATGTCGAATGAGGGCTGGGGGATTCTATCATCAATTAAGTTTGGAAAATGCTGGTTAAACAAAGTTGAAGTAGGGATTTCAGTGCTGGGATTACAGGCGTGAGCCACTGCACCACCTGACCATTATTAAAGTTTTGAAAAATTCATTTTAAAATAATTCACAATGCCTACTTCTGAAATGACCTGGGCCAGTTTAGAGTTTGGAATCTATTGAAAAAAAATTTAATAATGAAACCTGAATAGAGTAAATCTTAGGATAGAAAGGATAAATGTTTATTAAATGTTTGAATATAATTATGTGGTCAATTCATTTGCTTCTAAGAAATCTAGTAGTTTACTGCAGAACAAAATTGGACGACCCTTTGTACTACATAGTCACATTGTGACCACAGAAGGCATTTAAACTCATCTGTAAGAAGCCTTCCTACAGGTTTGCAATTCTAGTTGGTGTAATACAATATTTAACTTGTAATTAGTCATAAAAAGTACATTTGTTAGAGCTTAAAACATACATGTTTAATAATCTGGAAACAAGAAAAAAGTAGCTTTACTTGGAATATGATCTGGGAATGATGTCAAGGCTTTTGGAGCTCCGGTACCAGGACCAAGTGTTCTTTGGTGCTCAAGACACCGTGGACCAAGGGCACCCTCTCTCAGTTCTAGTCTGAGTAACTGAAAAAACATTCCTTCCTTGTTTAAACCTCATTCTTATCTTTCCTCAATTTTTATCTTTTCTCTGTCTTCTAATCTTTTCTCTCTCTCTCTCTCTCTCTCTCTCTCTCTCTCTTTCTACTCTCTCAAGAGAGGGGAAGACAAGGCTAGAAGGCCAATTCCTTTGATTCCTGGCCTCTTGATGGAGTTTCCAAGATTGTCAGACCATATATACCTTCTGTTCTTACTTAAAAGTCTAAAAAGTGTAGGCTGTGCCTCAGGCCCAACTGCTCTCTGGCATCATCTCTTCCTGACGGTGCAAGATAGCATCTTCTGACTGCTGAGTCCAGTGAGAGATGATCAGCGTCCTGGGGGCCACAGCCTGCCGCCCCCACCCCACTCCCATTCCCACTGATCTCCAGGGAAGTCTGATGGCCAAGAAAGGAATGAAGCCAAAGAAGAGGGATTCCCTCTTTCCACTGAGGGCAAAGACATATACTCGAAACTTCTAAATACATTCTTAAGTGTGTCCTAACTTTCAACATCTGTCAAACAGTTGAATGACATCTTTTTGCTGCTTTTCAAATGATAGAATTCTTTTTTTTTTTCAGTTCTTCCCTGAGATTTTCACTTCATTTTCAAATATGAATCATAAAAAATTTCTCAGAAGTCATAGTTGTTTCATTTTGTTCACTTCATCATAAGCCACTTTCTTCATCCTTTGAACTCATTTGCTATAGAGACACATGGGATAATCACAAAACAGGGTGCCAGGCCATACATTCCTGTTTCAGAAATTCATTGCTAAGTGTGTGATGATAACAAAACCCTATTGCACATAATAACCCAGTCATCAGATTGAAGTAGTTTTTTTTAATTCAGCATAATGCACACATGTAAGTTATCTATTTGAATATTAAGATTTTAAACATATAAACCAGCATATTAAAGATGAATGAAAACATAGATGAGTTATCTATATTTGCTTTATAATGTGTTGCTTTATACCTTCATAATAAGTGTTACATATAATAAACAATATCTAATTATATTGCCATAAGTGGTTTAGGATAATACAATAACATTGAGTTAATCTTCAGAATAAATGAAGGTAATAAACAACACAGCAGAAGAAACTAAGAACAGAATGAAGAAAAAAACCTATTCATGTGTCATTTCTCTCACAATTAGTCACTTTATAAAATACTATCTTTCTTAAGTCTTTCTATAATATTATGTATCTTACCCAATTTTGCTATTTCAATTGCAACACATCAGAAAAATAAAACAGTTATTTACTAGCTCTACAGATCACTTGCCTAATTGTATGGAATATAGCAGAGATAATGAGCTCATTGTGAACTGCAACGGCCATATAGCGTGGCTCATGAAATGCTGATGGGACTGTCCGCACTGCATAGCAGAGATAAACACCCCACAGGAGGAATAGAAATTCAGCTGTGAGAAGACAAAACAAACAATTTTGCATTAGTTTTACAGATGAAGAAAAAATAAAATTTTTATTCTTTAGCATACATTCTGTGCCTATTAAAGAAACAGAAGTTTAGTTAGAAACAGATACACACAAACTGTCATGTACATACAAATACAGATGTCATATATTTATTTTTAAATTTTATTCAGTGTATAGATTTTTCAAAGGTATACTTTGTTGTTGTTACTGTTTTTAACAGCATTTGGAATCTCAGAATATTTTGCTAATACCTGGATTTTTCCTAAAACAATTATAAAATAATTTTCCACATTCCCAATCTAAGTTTAGGATGTTCGTGGATCATTTGGGTCACAATAAAGTTCACCAAGGCAACAAAAGGATTGTAATATGTTTATATGCATCTTCTAGAAATTTATTACAGCATTGAGCCAAGTTCAATAAATAAAGGTATCAATATCTATTGCCAGTGATGTCAAAACACAGGTTGCTAAACATTCAGTGGCATATTTTATAAATGAAACATTATTTCTTTGCACATGATAAAAATCATATCTTTTGTGAGTAGAGTCCTGAAAGGTTCACTAAAATTCACAATCATATTGTTTGGTCACTAAAGCCGGAAGAGACAAACACAGTGTGACAGCTAAGAATAAGGACTTCAGAATCACAGTAGACCTAATTCTGCACCCATCTCTATACCTAACTATGCATAATCTTAGGCAATTTCCTTAGCTTCTGTGGCCATAGTTTTTCATCTGGAAAATGAAGATAATAAAAATAAATATTTCATGGGATTATTTGCTAATTAAATCAAACAATGATATAAAATACTTAAAATAGTTTCTGAGATATAGTAATTGTTAAATAAATGGTTATTATTAAACTTCTCATTTGAATTTTTTTCAAACTATGCATTGCTATTTTGACTTGTTTTGAACAATAATCTATACAACCTATTTTATCTGTCTTAGTGACATGACCTTATTGGAAGATAATATCTAATTATCAGAGAAATGGAAATTAAAACCACAACAAGATATCATCTTATACCAATAAGAATGGCTACTACCATACTAAAAAGACAAAAAAAATAACAGATATTGGTGAGGATGTGGACAAAAGGGAACTCTCATATGCTGTTAGTGGGAATGCAAAATAGTACAACCTTTATGAAAAACAGTATGGAGATTTCTCAAAGAACTAAAAAGAGAACTACCGTATGATCCAGCAATCCCAGTACTAGGTATCTACCCTAGTACATAATGCATAAAAAAGATAACTGCACTTGTATGTTTTTTGGAGCACTATTCACAATAGCAAAGATCTGTAATCAACCTAAGTGTCCATCAACAGAGGATTTGTCAGAGGAGGAGACAGGGCTGAGACTGGATGCAGGGGCTTGAAGATCAGGTGCAGGTGTTAAAGTAAACAACTCTCAAGCAGAAGTTAAGTAGAGGGGCTGATAACCACAGGCAAGAACCAACCTGTCAGCTATTTCTGCCACCTTACATGAACTTTGGCTAATTACAACATCATTTACAACATCATTGTGGTTTTAAATTTTCTCTGCTCTTGAAGTCACCATGACAGTTCCAAAACTACCATATAAAGTATGAAAATGGGGTGGAACCCAATTCTAGGAATTTCTACCCAAATCCTCAGTAAAAGCCAACCCTGTGGCCTTGAATATTTTTCCCCGTTAGTAAGATTACAAAAGATCTAAAACACTTCCTCTCAGTGCAGCTGCTCTTTGTGAGCCTGTCCACTCCTCCCTGAGAGTGTACTTTTGCTTTCAATAAAGCTTTCGCTTGCTTGGCTTATGTGGTGCATCCTGAAATTCTTTTCTGTGACAAACAGCAAGAACTTGGAAAAACCTCCACTCAGAGGGCAGTAACAGAGTGAATAAAGAAATGTGGTAAATATACACAATGAAATACTATTCAGCCATAAAAAGAATAAAATCATGTCTTTTGCAGCAACATAGATGGAATTGGAGGCCATTATTTTAAGTGAAACAGCCTAGACACAAATACTGCATGTCCTCACTTATAAGCGGGAGATAAATAATGTGTGCACATGGAAGCAGAGTGTGGAATGATGGACAATGGAGACTCAGAGAGTTAGGGGCAAGGAGAAAGGATGGGAGGTTTCTTGGTGGGCACCATGCGTGTTGCTCCAGTGATGGAGGCACTGAAGGGCATGACTTCGCCACAACACAATATGTCAATGTAGCAAAATAACACTTGTACTCCATGAGTGTACAAAAGCAAAAAATAAATTAAAAAACCATCTAATTAATAAGAAGAAAGCTCTAATTTGGAGAAAACATTTCATCATACACATTACTTAGATGTAACCTTCTTCTTTTTTTTTTTTTTTTTGAGACAGAGTCTCCTTTGTTGCCCAGGCTAGAGTGAGTGCCTGGCGTCAGCCTAGCTCACAGCAACCTCAAACCTGGGCTCAAGCAATCCTGCTGCCTCAGCCTCCCAAGTAGCTGGGACTACAGGCATGTGCCACCATGCCTGGCTAATTTTTTCTATATATATTAGTTGGCCAATTAGTTTCTTTCTATTTATAGTAGAGACGGGGTCTCGCTCTTGCTCAGGCTGGTTTCGAACTCCTGGTTCGAGCAATCCGCCCGCCTCGGCCTCCCAGAGAGCTAGGATGACAGGCGTGAGCCACCGTGCCCGGCCTTAGATGTAACCTTCTTATAAACTGAAACATCGATGTCCATTCAAAAGACTGATCATCCAACCAAAATCCAAGGTGTTTTCCCTCCCAAAGTTTCAGCATATTTCTACCAGCATTTAATCACACGGTAGTGCTTCAATTATTGAATCTCTCAGGAGCCACTCTAAAACCCTGATGTTCCAGAGGCCGAAGAAAAAATAAACGTCACTCCAAACTCTCTATGAGATTTAGTATAGGTCCAAATTATTCAGTATGGTGGCTGCTGGCCATTTGCTGTGAATATTGTTTCCAGTCAAGCTTTACTGGACTGAGAAAAGGAAATCAGGACATTCTGAAGTCTTCATGTAAAATTTCCTTTCCCAATTCTTTTATTTCTCTCCATGGAACCACTGTTGCCTTCTTTACTCAGGTTTAAAAATCTCAGAGCTACCTTTCATTTCTATATTTGTTTCTTGGAGTTATTTTTCATATGTTTTCATTCCTCTCAATGTTCCCAATTATTATCTTTGCCTAAGCCCCTATTAATTCTCCTTATTTGTCAAAATTATTTTTTGAAGGGTGCATCTAAACCTGGCTTCACCCTGTGTTAATCCATTCTTCATAAAAGTAACTGGTTATTTTTACTGAAGCTCCAGTTTGATCATACCAGGATTTGTCCAAATCCATGTCACTGCATTTAGGTTAAACTATTCACATCTCTGTTAGAAGATTCATTGATACACCTAATTGCGAATGAAGCTTCAGCCAATCATAAGCAGCCTGACTGGTTCTATTACTTGGGACCTCCCACTGGGTGACACACAATTAAGGCAAACACCTTGCTCCAGCTAATCAAATAGTTTCTTTTTCCTTTCTTATCTTATCTTTTTTTTTTTTTTCAAACTTTGCTTCCATATTCAACCTATAAAAGCTCAATGTTCAAGCTGCTTCAGCAAACCCATAATCTCCTTTTGGTTTTGGTACTTTCTGATTCATGAATCATCCTTTGCCCAGATAAACTCTGTTAAATTTTATGTTGTCTCAAGTTTTTCTAAATAGGCCTGTAAGTGATCTAAAGATCATATTGGCTTTATTATTAACAGTGGCAACCTGAATTTATTGAGTGTGTGCTATTATGTGTGGCACAAAAGAATGGTGAATGCAAAAATATTATCAAGGAACACTAGCACAAAAATATGCTATAGTTGAAGGATTCACATATAGCTGCATTATTGTAGTGCTTTTGAATCATGCTATACTGAAGATTCATAAAAAGGAAAGTAGTTATCAGGTTCATTAGTGTGCTACGATGGAGAATTACATTTAAAAATATAGGGCAAAATAAGATTTCTCATAATAGCAAAGCTGAACATTAAAATCATTTCATTAGCAACATCAAACAATATGCTCTAGCTAAAAAACAATTTATTATTCAAAGTACCAATTAAACTAAATGTGATATATAAAAGTTGGGCTTGGGAAAAAAATCAGTTTCATATAATTAACTTCAGCCTAACACTGCAATTAGTAAAGAAAATATGCAGATGTTACCAAATTTTGCAGTGTTACTGCGTGGGAGTTGAAATATGTGTTCTGCTTTTGCTTTAGAAACTAATTTCTAGAGTTAAGTGATTTTGATGGGAGGCTTGAGTATAGTTAGAAAGGGGATGGCATTTATATTTAAAGATCCAAATACGGCTTTCGGAAAACTGAAGTATGTTATTTTTAATCTATAAGGGGTAATAGTTTAAATGTTAACTACCATAGCCTTTTAAAAATTAATATACCATAATGAAAGTAATTTCAAGTTATTTTTTCAAAAGGCTGGGCCAAGCAAGAATATGAGAATTAGTATCAGTTCTCTGACACTGGAGATGCCCCAGCTCTGTGATCTTAGACCGCCCACAAGAGCTGAGAGGAAAACAACTTCAAAGCACAAATGGCTCTCAAGCTGTGGTCCCCTGCTTTGCCATGTTGCAAAGGCATTCTGTATTAATCACATTTTACCCAACTCAGCCCCATTAAAAATTATTTTTATATGGCATAAATAAGTACACAAGTGATAAAGCATTTAGGTTTCATTTCCCAAGTGCTTCTTTGAATATCCTCTTCCATTTTTCTCTAAATCCTATCCACTTAGAGAATTCATGGTCAAAGTAAAAAATTATTTACAATTCTACCCAGGATAACTCATTTCAGTTTCGTTTTAGTAATCAGGTGGGTAGCACAGAGGTTATCATTAAGGATTAAATCAAACATCTTAGTAATGCTTGAGGATGTCTCAAATTCCAGCTGGCATACAGAAGCTTGGAGACACTGGGGGCTTATCTGC